ATGGAAGGTGGTGATCAAAGTGTTTGTTAAAGCAATCAAAGCAAAAAGTCCAAGGCCTGAGATAATCATTGCATACACAGATTGGTGGTTATGTATTCACTCTGTATTACCTTTATAAATAACAAGAGCCCTTTGCCCTTATTCAGTATTCTTGTGGTCATAAGCTTAAAGAAGTAAATCTTTAACATACAAGTCACAGTATCAAATTCAAATAATACCTTGTATTGCTGAACCAGAATTGTCATTACTCAATAGCAATTTTGTAATTTGAGTGAAAAATAATTTAAAGCCAGTTTTCCAGTGTGTGTGTGTGTGTGTGTGTGTGTGTGTGTGTGTGTGTGTATAAAAGAGAGTGAAAGAAAGAGAGACAGATATTCAAGTTGTAAAATGTAACTAGAAGTGTCTTTTGGTGTAGAAGAACTATAATGAGCAAACTTATAAAGTTTGACTAACATAATAAAGCACTGTAAGAAAATTTCCAGTCAGCCTTCTAGATAAATAAAGAAGAGTCACAGGGCTGCAAGCTGATGTTGCCAATATATACAACACTGATTTATAAGAGAAAGGCGATTAATTGCTTCACTGACACGGATTCATGTGATAGCTTCAAAGAAAAATGATGAGAACATTATGTCCTTATAGTCTAATGACTCTAGTCAGTCAGTCCTAATTCATATTGAATGGAGTCACTGAGACCATTTATTAAGTTTCTATACTCCTTATGTGGGGCAAAGAACAGTTTTATTAAAACTATGATGAATGACAAAGATTTACATAAAGTTCTAATAGATAAAGTGTGAAAAATGCAACTTTGAAATGTACAATTAAGAACTGAGACTGACAGTAATTTTTAACGCATTGAACTTTAAAAGGAAGCAGAAAAAAGAAAAGGCTACTTCACAGGTAAAAATACCCATGGGAACATACTTGCCCAGTCTTTATTCTGGCACATATGTATTGAACTCTGATCACAGAAGACTTGTTCAGGTTTAACCATTTGGAATTCAATGGCTTAGTTTTAATAATTGTCTTAATGTAACCAATGATAACAACTAAATTTTATTGAATGCTTCCTATGTCCTTTGAGGCATCTAATTTTTCCACACAGCCCTATGTGTTAGTTCATTTTCAATTACTCTAAGGAAATACCTGAGGCTGGATACTTAGGCAAGAGCTTTATTTAGCTACAGTTCTGGGGATTGTACAGCATGGGTCAGCTCAACTCTGGCAAGAACCTCATGGCAAATAACATCACAAATGACAGAAGCATGTACAAGAGGGAGAGATGATATCATCAGACAGTCAACCAAAGAGACTAGGGAGTGGTCAGGCTTATTCTTTAATGATGACCCTCTCACAAAAACTGACTCAGAGGTTCCATGAGAACAACATTAATCTCTCCAAGGGCACACCCACTTGACCTCCCATTAGGCTCCATCTATTAAAGGCCCACCACCTCCCAACATTGCCACACTGAGAAGCAAGCTTCAGAACCAATGCCTGACTAAATGCAAAACTACATACAAAATACAGAGCCATGTGATGTCAATGTTATTATGCATATTTAATAAAAAGTTTTAATGGAAAATTGCAGGCAATGTCTACTTTTGAAGAACTAGTTATGTGCATGCCAAGATGGACAGAAAATTTCTGGAAAGAGAAGGTAAGCACCCAGAGAACATGTGCCATGGTTTCCTCCCTTCTTTGAATAATAAACCAAAGATAATTCAGAGGTAAATTATTCAAACCACTTGTTTTTCAAAAGTACCATTGCAATTAAATTTAAAAGCCATTTATTACACCTTTTTACATTTTCCAAGCTCTTACTGCTATATTGCATCTGTGTTTCTCATCTGGAACCTTTAGGGAAGTTGAGTACTGCTATCATTACATAGAAGAAAATGTTCCTGGATGATTAAGAAATATAGTGTCAGGCTCCTAAGTCTGTATCCTGGGTTGTTTCCTTACTAGCTATGTGTATACAAACAAATTATATGTAGAAGTGTGTGTATATATATATATATATAAATTTGGATTTTGTATGAGGATTAAATAAAAAATTACAAGTAAGACATTTGGAACACAATAAGGGCTCAAAGGATGCTATCTCTTAGTAAACCTGATTTATAGATGAATAACCTAGTCACAAAGTCCAATGTCATAGAATGAGTTTCAGACTAAAAACTAGATTTTTTGTTCAACATTGTTACTTTTTCCCACTTCTCATACTAGCTGACCCTAAATATGATTAGTGTTTCTTGAGACAAACCAAACAATTATTTTGAGGATCTTCATGTTAATATAAAATAATAATACCAACAGCAAAAATAATAATAGCACCTAATATCACTTATTATGTGTTAATTGCTGTGCCAAATTTCTTATACATATTATCTCATTTACTTCTCAAAACCTTATTAGATAGATGTTTTTACTCCCACCTTTTACAGATGAGGAAGCTAAAGCTTTACGTGGTCAAGTGGTTTCCCAAGGACCCACACCAAGTAAGTTCTCAGAGTGGAATCAAATTCAAGCAGCATGGCTTCAAAGCTCATGTTTTACTCATTCACTTTCACCTGTTACTAAATTAGGAAATTAACAGCATATCAACTCAAAAGCTGCATATACTATATTGCTCTCCACCACTCCATTATTAAAGAATCCTAAATGCAATAAAGTTTTGTAAATATATACTCCTATTTGATTAAAACCAGGGCTAATTTAAAGAACCCAGATACTCTATTTGCTTCTGGAGCATGCAAGATTAACTACTATCATATACCCAACAGTGGGGTTCATTAAATGGAATTAATTGCTTTCATGCCCATAATTAGAATATGCCTCATATTTAAAGTGTGACAATCTATTTTGTTTGATTATAAGTCTTATTTTGGTATGTAAACTTCTGAATTTTCCTAAACATGTATAATTTATGCTTCTGAATTTTTCTTCTAGTTTATAATCTCAAGAAACAACATAGGTATGATATTATGTAAACTTTAATGTCTATTTTAATGCAGATTATATTACCTTAGATTATATCCAAAATCCTGTTACTAAGAATTTGCCTCATTATATAAACATCATTTTTTTTAAAAAAAGTGAAATATATTCCCATGCTTCATAAACTTTGTTTCCAAAGAATACTAATTTGAAGAACTGTTCTTCAATTTCTTTCTTATATCTCATAATTATCATTCCCTTCATACAGAAAACTGTTAGGTACTTTTTTATCTTCCTAGATATATTAATACACATACAATAAAATACATTTATATATGTATATACAGAAGTCTCTCAACCTGTTTTTATATTCGTATACATTGTATGGTAGAATACATCATATGTGATTCAGCATCATGTATTATTTCATACATAATATGTCATATATTATTGCAATTACTCTTGATTTGTACTAAAGAGTTCTTTATCTTTATTTTCTAGACTTTTTAAAAAAAATTAGATTTTTTCCATTCTAATACCACTACAAATGATGTCCCAATGAATAATCTTTCTATGCATCAATGGACATGTGTGAGTGTACTATTTCTGGAGTATAAATTATTAGAAGTAGAATGCCAAGTCAAAGGGTATTTGTATCTGCAATTTTGATAGATATTTTCAAATTTTTTGTAAATGAGTTTTCCGATTTATAATTATTTCTATGTCAGTTTTTCCTTTGAAGTAGGGTGATATGTTGTTAGCATTTTTTTCCTTAAATAAACTTACATGTTGCACATTCTAGTGATACTGGCAGGTTGCTCCACACCAAAATTAACAATATAATTCTAGATTTTGAAAACACACTATTAAAATACAAATGATAAGAAAAAATTTTAACAGTTGCCTAAGATCTGAAATTACAATGTAGTTTTGGGGAAATAAGTTTTATTCATAATATATCATATTTATATAAATTTAGTTGTAGGAAAATCTCATTTGACCTCTATTAATTTATTTATATCTTTTCACTTTAAATCAGCATAATATAGGGAGGCAGCCACATTAATATTTATAGCAGCACAACTAATAATAACCAAGCTATAGAACAAATCTAGAGGTGCTTCAACAGATAAATAGACAAAGAAAATGTGATACATTAGATAATGGAGTATAATTCAGCTATAAAAACAACAAATTATTGGCATTAGTTGGAAAATGTATAGAACTAAAAATTATTATGCTAAATGAAATAAGTCAGATCTAGAAGGTCAAAGGTTGAATGTTTTCTCCAGTATGCAGAAGCTAGTCCACAATAAAGGAAAGAACAGAAAAGTTTTGAGGGATTTCATCAAAATAGAAGATCAGTGGAGTAGAGTAAGGGGGTTGAGGGAAGTGGAGAAGGGATGGGAATGGGAAAAATGTGGAATGAATCTGACCCAACTTTCCTATGAACATATATGAATATACTACAATGAATCTCACCATTATGAATATCTGTTAGGCATGAATTTTTAAAAACTGTAAATAAATAGCAGAAAGTTCAATAGAGTACAGACAAGTGAACAAGGAGGAAGGAAGAGGAAAGGAAAAAGGAAGTACTGGGGACTGAATAGAGCAAATTATATTTCATGCTTTTACAGTTATGTCAAAATGACTCCTAATGTTATATATAACTAAAATGAACCAAAAAAATAAAGTTTTAAAAAATTCTCAAATAGTAGAATCTTTGACAAAAATTTCTTATAAAATCACTGTTTCCTTACAACATGCCATATGTCTTGATATTTCTTTATAAAAATTATGCAACAAAATTTTTCCAAAAACTAGATAAGCTTAACAATATTAATCCAAATTTAGGGACCAGAAAACTGTGGCTCATCAATATTAGCTAGCCCAAAGTAACAAAACTAACAAGTACTGCTACTTAAGTAAACAGGCACAAATTCTCACAAGTACTTCTCACAAATTAAGTAGAGAGGAGACATCACATAATGAATGACTTAAACATGCAATCCATGTGTAATCCATGCTATAGCTGCCTATGGTGAATGGCTTACCTCAAAAACAAATGACAAGGCAGGGACAAGAGGCTTAATATGACCGAATCTGTACAGCATCAGGATCACTAAGCAACGGAGAGTTTCCATAAGAGCTGCCTTGGGTCTGAAATGACATGTCAATAACTTTCATTAGCTTTAGCTGAGCTCTTCATGTGTATATATTATAATTAATATATAGATTACATTTTCTTATGATTTTTTAATAAATATGTAGTATTTTAACATATTTGAGATGTCCCCCTGAAGTTTTTTTGAAAATAGGCATTACAATAAAAAAGAAAATTTATTTTTTTAAAGAAAAATCTCTTCTTTATTAACTTATGGCTTAGTTAAAGCATTTATGGGTTAGGAATAAGCTTATTTTCAGCTAAAATTAAAATATTAGGCAATTAAATTGTAGCGCATAGTGTAAATGAGTCCCCTCAAGGATCCCCTCCTTAAAAAAAAGTTTCTTAGGAGAACTGACATATCTATCTACTCTAAAATAATGAAGGGTAGTTATCAAGGTTTCATGTTTATTTTAAAACTACATTAAAAAGTTAAATAACATACTATCATTTTCATGGCTTTATGGAAAATTCTTAATTTTAGTAAAAAATAAAATTAATGAAAACACTTCAGTTCTTACCTTTGATCCAGAAAAAATCCAATGGAGGTCAAGGTCAGGATAATGAAGAGAACCCTCAGAAGGAGAGTTACCTGTGATAGTGCCTATAAACAAACACAGAGATCAGTGGATCCTTCAGAAGAGTTATTAGAGTAAACACTAGGAGTTAAAACTTACAAGAAAAAAGCCCCAATTGTATTTTCTGTTATGTCATTTGTCACTTATTCTCTTCATGTAGGTTGACTAATAGAAGATATTTTGCTTTTCCTAATGTCACTTAGTTACCCTGTTGAATGTTTGGAGAATGAATTAGATAATTTCATAATGATATCTGTTTAATGTGTTCTTTCTAAAAGTTCCCCTTTGAAGTTTTAATTTTTATATTATTTGAAGTTTGTTAAACCCATGTGTCAAGAATTATCATTCACATTATTACAAATAAATGCTACATGCTAATAGCACCTCATTTTTTTCTGGTACCATGGATTGAACATAGGTGTATTAACCACTAAGCTACATCTCCTGCCTTTTTATTTTGAGCAGGGTCTTACTAAGTTGCTTAGGGCCTTGCTAATTTTCTGAGGCTTTTGAACTTGGGATCCTCCTGCTTCAGCCTCCAGAGCTGCTGGGATTGCAGGCATGCACCACTGTATCCAGCTCCAATAGCTATTTTTAATGTCACAAATTATTTGTGTTTTTTACATCCAAAGCTGTCTAATTCAGAAAATATTTAAAGGAGAATGCCCTTATGCATGAGAAGACATATTTTAAAGAGATTATATAAATACAATCATTCATCTCTAATGAAATCTAAATATTTATATGTGCATATCAAAAGTTGCCTTATAAGTAATTGTTACAAAATATTTTACCATCAGACTTATAAATTATTATGCATTTTGTTTACATGTCAAAATCTAACAATAGTGAATATTGGACATCTGCTGTATTGCAGCTTCCTATACTGTGTTTCTTATACTTTAATCCTTTTTATGTACCCAACAACAATGTCTTTATATATATATATATATATTTAAACCTTGGAAATCAAAGGATTATGTAACTTTTCTATTATGACACAGAATATAAGCTGTGTTTCTAAAATTCAAAATAGATCTGCCTGACCCTAAAGTATGACAACAATAGAATACAAATGAGTAAGAGACTTAAAGGGGTTGGTGGCAGAAATATTGTTATAGTTTAGATGTGAGGTGTCCCCCAAAAGCTCGTATCTGAGGCAATGCAAGGAAGTTTAGAGGATAAATTATGGGTTGGGAGAGATTTAATTCAATTAGTAAATTAAAATTCCATAATGAGATTAATTGAGTGAAAACTGAAGGTCTGTAAGGATGTGGTTGGAAGAGGTGGGTACAAGGGGGCATGCCATTGGGGTACATATTTTATATCTGTCGAATGGAATCTCTCTGCTTCCTGATCATTATGTGAGCTGCTTCCCTCTATCACACTCTTCCACCATGATGCTGAATCTCACCTTGAGCCCTGAAGAATGGAACCAAATGTCTATGGACCAAGACCTCTGAAACCATGAGCCCCCAAATAAACTTTGTCTTCAAAAGTTGTTCTTGTCAGTTCTTTTAGTCACAGCAGCAGAAAAGCTGACTAAAACAGATATAAGTTAATGTTACATAGCCAATATGTAGGGCTGGGTGAATACTGCTTCAGGTGAAGAGGGGGGAATAAGTAAACTCATAGGTCCAGAATGATTTCCCTAATCAGCAAATGTGCTTGAATTTCACTTTATGAGAATATTAGAGATGTGATACAACAGATTGGTAAAATAGAGATCTAAATATTTTTTCAAAAACTTTTTTCTCTTTTTTCCCCCCAAATAACTTTTTTTTTTTAAGAGAGAGAGAGAGAGAGAGAGAGAGAGAGAGAGAGAATTTTAATATTTATTTTCTCATTCTCGGCGGACACAACATCTTTGTTGGTATGTGGTGCTGAGGATCGAACCCGGGCCGCAAGCATGTCAGGCGAGCACGCTACCGCTTGAGCCACATCCCCAGCCCCCCCCCAAAATAACTTTAATTTTAATTCATTATTATCAAGTATCCCTACCTACAATTACATATGCCCAGAATTATAAACAATATAATTATAATTATAAATAATTATAAACAATAAGCAAAAGCAATTCCTAGTCACATGTAGTAATCTGGCTCCTTATTATCACAAACCAACCCTGTTTCTCGTGGCTAATTTCCTGGGATGACAGCCAGAATTGTAAAGGGATTTTTACATCCTCCAAAGCAATAGTGCAGTAGAAGAATATTGCTGAGTGGTCAAAAATCTAAATAAAAAGTGTCAGAACTTTGAGGGATATGGGTTATGGTAGGTGTCTGATACAGGGTGGGGAGCTCAGTGGAAGTCAGAATGTCTAGGAGGAAGGCATGAGAGACATATTTTTAGGTATGTGAAAGCCAGCAATAGCTGCTTTGGGACAGTAAAGCACAAATGAGCAGAAAAATATTTTCTTAGTGGTAGAAGTAACCAAGGTGTGCTGCAGTACACTAATGTTCAGTTAAGAGAAACATTTTGTCTTTAAAGAAAAACACTTCTTTCATCATACTGCTTCATTTTTATTTATAAGAGAAAAATCCATATGGAAGAGAAATGGTTTGTGCCAGAAAACTATGGTATGATTGCAAATGCTTTATAAAAACATAAGAATTTTTTGGGGTTGCACAAACCTATAGGCCCTGTTACCACAGGCAAATTATTTGACATTTCTAGGACTTGGATATACATGAGGTACATTTGAAATAAAATATGACTTTGGGAAGGACTGAAATAAAACATTGAGAGGAGTGCTTGGCACAAGGAAAAAAAGTCAATTAATGGTCATGATTACTAATCATTGTTACTATGTTCAGGTGCTTAGGCTAATCTTAATTAACAACAATAAAATGGAAATGAGATACTTGAATAAAATGTTTTTTACCTCTTCCAAGTTTCAAAGGAAACTCACAGAGCAGAATAAAATAGATCTTTTGTTTTGGTTAGGAAATTTATGATCCATAGGCAAAAGAATGAACTTCTCTTTCTTAAATTGCTTCCTGACTACTGGGATCAGAGAGGAAACCAACTTAATGCAGAAGCTAGCTGCTTCATCCTGGGCTTGGCTAATATTCGTCTGAAACTTGGCAAGTCTGAAACACAGCATTTGTTTTCCTCCTCTATACTACAGGTTCCCCATTTCCCTCTTCTTAGGAAATGTCAACACCAGGTTTTTAACTACTCAGGACAAAAATCTGTGACTCCTCCTTGACACACACTCTCTCTCTTTCTATTTACCCCTATCTATTTTTAACAGAGATATATGTTGGGAGTTATGGAGTATATCCCAGTCAAAGGCAATTGGCACACACAGCATAACTAATCCTCTGTTCTAGCCCAGTATGATCTCCACCACAATTATTAAAATATATTCCTAACTGGTTTTACCACTTGTGAAACTGTCTGTCCACCTATCCTTCCCAACCCCAGGGTGCCGAATTATACTTTCAAAGCGTAAGTCAGATCATATCATTTATGTTCTAAATTCTTCAGGGGCTACAGATATCACTCAGAATGAAATTCAAAGCCATTATTATTGCCTATACATCCTCTCTTTTATACTTAAGCAATATCAGACATTTTGGTGCTCCTCAAACATGATAAGCATCCTCCCCACTCAAATCTATCTTACCTATTCTTCCTTTGGCTGGGAATGACTTTCCTAAAGAATCCTTATGGTTCATTTCATTCAAGTATGTATACAAATTCATGCTCTTTTCCACCTTAAATAAACTAGTACTTCTTCATAGTTTCTATAAGCACCATGCTTTTTTTTTGTCCTCCATATGAATTATCACTTCTACACACATTGTTCTTGCATTCTCTACTTGTTGGCCATAGAGATGCAAACTCCATGAAAGCCTTTATTTCTCTTTCTCTTTTTGCAGTGGTGAGGATCTAACCCAGGACCTTGTACATGCTAGGCAAGCATTCTACTGCTGAGCTAAACCCCCAGTCCAGGTTTGATCTCTATTCGCTGTTGTATGCCAACTGCCTGGAACATTGCCTGACACATAGTACCTAATACATGTTTGTTCAAAGACTGAGTAAATAATTTGTATTTTAATAATAATAATTTCACTAAAAGTGGAATTCATCAATAATTTTATATTATATTTACTCATAAAACTAATATTTTGAATCATTAAGTTTTAAAACAAATTAATCACTAATTTATCATTAACATATTAAATGATCTTATATGTTAAATATTTAATGTTAAATAACTTAACTTTCATTCATTCAATCCCACAAAGAACAAAATTGAAAATATAGTGTTTGAAAGAATGGAAAGAGGGAATTCAATACAAAACACATGTGCTTCCTTCAGAGAGTCCATTTTCATATGAAACTCAGAGCATGTTCAAACAGCATGCTTTGACTGATTAATAACGATTAGTTGATTATGTATTTTACATGTATATGTAGTATATATGCATAAAATATATTCAATGAACATTTACTGAACATATGTTGGGTTCTATGGTAAATATGAGTTTAAGAGACTGAGCAAGAAGAACAAAATCCTTGCCCTTGAACCCAATATCACCTCATTCCTCTACATAGAATCACAGGTCAGCTACAAAAGAGCAAAAGTGGAAAAAATAGAACTTATTATCCCTGGCCACTGTAAATATTTATTCTTATGCATTCAAAGAGTTTGTTCAATCAGATATAGCTTATGAGTTTTTCATAAAAAGAAAAAAAATTATTTTTTATTGGGTTGACCATGATTTCATATCATCCGTTTCTTATTTTTCATATCAAATATGTCTGTCCTAAAGTGCTAAAATGGAATGATTCTACATTGAACTCAGTATATTACTAGGCCTTATCATAAAGAGCATGATAAATGATAAAACCATAAAAATTTATTAATCAATATTTCCATGTTATCTTTCATTAAATAATAAATTTAAAAATTATTTTAAAAACTTTATGATGAATGGAATTATGTTTTCCCCTTTAAGATACCAAGCATTTTCAGTTACTCTTTCTTCAATAGTTTTTCCAGTGAGAGAATGTA